AGGAAGATGCTACAATGTTAGTTTTGAAAATGGAGAGGGGTGGCATATAAAAAGGAATGAGAATGGCCTCTAGGAGCTGAGAACAGTCCCTGGCCAGCAAGGAAATGGGAACCTCAGTCTTATAACCACAAGAAATTAAATCTTGCCACAACCACGTAAGCTTAAAAGAATACCCTGAGCTCCAAGTATAAATGCAGACTGGTTGACACACTGATTTAAGTCTTGTGAGAAACTGAGCAGAGACCTCAGCCACGTCATGCTCAAATCTCTGACCTACAGAACTGTGTGTTAAAAAATGGGTTTTGTTTAAGCTTCTAAATGTGTAATAAGTTGTTAAGCAGTAATAGAAATCTAATACAAACCTTGTTAAGAAATCTTGATTTGATACCTTAAGGCAATAATTTTTATGATATAATGTTAGAATGCTTATTATAGAAGCATGTTGTTGTTCACTTAAACTGCATTTGTCAAAGCAGGTTGATTTTACACACTAACATTGAGATAATTAATCTAGTCCTAATTAACTCAACCATTAAAAAAATCAATGTTACTACTTTTAGAATTAGAAACAAAGTAAAGGTAATCCGTTTGAAAAAAATATATCTTTGACAAGTAAAAGCAATTATTGCAGAAAATTAACTTTAAATACAATTCATGAATCTTGATTTTCCTTGATATTCTTTCTAACTGTACACTGAATCTTTCCCATCACCCTTACCCAGAAACCTTTTAATTTTTGTTCCCTCTCATCTGTCTTTTGTTTACTCAATCTTTCTTTCTTCCCTTCCCTTTGTTCCCCTCCCCTCTCTTCCTGCCTCCCTTCTTCCCTCCATCCATCCTTCTCTTCTGGATCTTCCTCATTATCATTTAAAATCTCATCTAAGAAAAAAGAAAGAAAGAAATGAAACTTTACAAGACTTCTTTTCTCTCTTTGGCGACTGCTCTTCATCCTCCCATTCAAAGGTAAGCACGTTATGGCTTTTGCTGCTGTCTCTACTTTTCCATTATCCATTCGCTCTTCAACTCATGCCAGTCTAGCTTACAAGTAAGTCCATCTCCTCATCACTTTTACCAAAGATTTGCACATTGTTCAATGGAATGAGCCTCTTTCGCGTCTTGATTTCTTACCAGTAATTTGACTGCTCATCTCTTCTTTTTCTGCCTAACTCAAACTCCTTTAATCGTCTGTTCTCTTCTACTTTTTATAGGTTCACTCTTAGGCTCACAGACATCTCAAACACTTCTACTTGTGCCTCAATTCTTAGTCTATGATTTTCATTTCCATAATCTCATCTCACTTTTGCCCCAAATTAGCCCCAAATTAGCCCTCTTCAAGTCTACAGTAATTTTATACTGGCTACTCCTTCTCCAGATAGTATTCTACCCTCTTTTCCTCCCATGATGGACTCCTCATTCAGATCACTTTCCTTCAGATTACACCTGGTAACATAGCTACTAGTCACAATCCCCACAGATTGTTTGAATTATTGGGTAATATCCCTCACTATGTCATTTTTCTTGTCTGTTTATAGTTTTCTTTTATCCTCCTGTGAGAACATGGCCCATTTTTATATTGCTTTCTATTTATCCCTAGAATGTAGTATACATGGGTGCTTCATTCAAGCTTGTTGAATGAATGAAGAAATTGCTCAAGCCATAAACCCAAGTTAACTCTGAGATATTCTTTTCTTTCCTACCATATCCAATCCAACACCAAGCACCTATATTTTAACTTAAATATCTATCAAGTCTACTAATTTCTCGCTATCTCTAATGCTACCACTCAGTCATGCTCTTCAAATCTACTCTCTTTCACCAATCCCAGGTAATTTTTTTAAAAAACAAATATGGTCATGATACTACCTTACTTAAAATTATTCAATAGCTTCCCATTTCTTTAAAGAAAATCATCAAAAATTTTAACTTAAATTATGAAATGGAATTATTTAACCCTTGTCATCTTTTGTAAGCTCTACTAGTATCCCTTTTATCTGGAATTGAAAAATACCGGCATCCTTCTTCCCACCATCATCCAGATATTCAGTTGATTCTTGCTGTGATGGAGTTTGGCATCGACTGTAAAAGATCCCAGGTAATTCCAATGTGCAGTCAAGTACTGAAAAACACATCTAGCCCTTTTATTCACATACTTTTGCTTCTATTTACTTGTGAATCTCAGTTCAAAGTTCATTTCTTTAATTTCACGTCTTCCTCTTGTCTTCCCTCGCCCTCCAGACTACACCGTTGCCTTTGTGATAAGCCATTTGCTTTTTCTTTAGGTTACTTATCACAGTTTGAAATTATAATGGCTATCCTTATAAGGCAAAATTTTAGACATTATATTAATAAATAGAGACTGAAAATCACCTTGGCTCAGAATAGCTTTAGTCTGCAAAGCCACTTAAATATCCTCTTTTATGCAAGT